ACAAAACGGGATTACTGTAACAGTGTGTTACTCCCGCCTCTTCCATGCGGACTTGGGAGTATATTCCCGTTGATGGTTAATTAATTCGAACAAGGGAAAGACAAAGCGATGCGCAGCAAATGGAACTAGGCCATTGTACTTCGATTTAGTATGCAGAATTTGAAATTCGCTGGAGGCTGTTTCTGTTAGGTCAGTGAAGGGTTTATTTGCATAATGGTAGAAGAGGGGTGTGAAGTCAATTAGAGCATTTGAACTGCGTCCAAGCAGTAACAAGTGTCCGGTGCATCCCATAAAATGAAGTAATTTATATGAATCGGTTTTTGTCTTATCTGATATCGACATATTGTCACGTGTATTAGTGACTATCAACGGGGTTTGGATTGGTGAATAGAATTACTGACCACATACAGGTCATAACTACAGATAACTACAACACTATTGCTGATTTCCACACTCCAAATCACTCCACACTTAGTCTTCTAAGTCTACTTCTACTATCCGTTGCTTGGTGACAGCTCTCCACAATTGCTATTCCACTGCAGTGTTTTCATTGGACGTTTCCTGTTAACGAATCATAGCAATGGAGATTCTTCAGCTTCCGTTGTCCACTGGTGAACACTTCACAGCTGAACGCTCAATTACTGAACTGAACTGAGCTGAGCTGAGCTACTGTTTCGCCTCTTGTTATATAGATACGGCTCGGACCTCACGGAAAAGCACGTGTCCGTGTTAATGCGTGGTCATTTGCCCGATACCCAGCACTGGGCATGGCGCGGACCACATAGGAAATATCTCTTCTGTTGTCAGAATACGTGGCTTTTGGCCCGTTGCCTAGCACTGGGCATGGCGCGAACCACATAGAAAGCAGTTCTTCCAGTAGTTTTTCTATTGTTGCGTGCGCGTATTTCGGGTGTTGCCTAGAAATGGATGTTCATGTCACAATATGTACATTAACTAATCCTGTTTAGTTAGCCGGGGGCACGTGGTAGCGTAGTCGATGGGGGCACTATGCTACAAGCCAGAAGGTCACTAGTTCGAATCCCTGTGAGGTCATTGGATTCTTCAGTTGATCTAATCATTGCAACTGCACTTTGGCCCTGGTGTCGACTCAGCCTTTGACAGAAATGAGTACGAGGAATCTTTCTTGGGGGGTGAAGGGCGGCCGGCGCCCGAGACTGACAACCTCACCGCCATCTGTGATCCGATTTTCTAGAAAATGTGGGAGCCTCGACGTCTCACAACCCTATGGCCCTCCACGGCCTGTTACAGTGATAGTTTTCCCTCTTTTACGTAGCCTTTTATAATCTAGTACATGCTCACACAGTGTTCTGGAAGAATATACTGCCTCCATATTCGAGATCGGCTTGCTTGGCCTTGTCTTCAACCCTGACCAAGGAGGCAATATGTTCTTCCCGAAAGTTGGTGAGCTTTTGTCGGACTTCACGGCGTCATATCCCCAAACATGATGATTCCAGTCATTTGAAATATGACGCTTTATAATTTTGTAGCTAGGTACCAACGTTTTAAAATAACCTGCTGCCTCCATCTTCAGGGTGTGATTCATAGAATGTCAAAGAATTCGTTATGGAAGCAGCAATACGGTATCTGCCATAGGACAGAGGTTGCTTGGATTCAAATAACCCGTCGCACAAAGTACCAGACTAAATAAGCAACTGAAAGTTTCTTCCGTTGGGTAAACACAATAAAACCGCAGTAAAAGTAAGGCGGGTAGGGAAGCTGTTTCCTGCACTGCTTTCGCGTTCTACCGACTTGGTATTCAAGACTTGTCTGTCCGCTTGCCATTCCTACCGGAGTGAAATTTTATTCTTACTGATATGACACCGTGTAGTTTGTTAGAAGGGTTCTTACGTTTCCGAGAAACTTTCTGCTTCAGTCTTCAGGATTGAATAATAAAAAAAATGTTTCTAAGTGACTAAGGTACCTGTCGCTTTCGCCTTTATGGTGGAAGAACCTTAGTAGTAACGATGTTTCGGAGGAACCTACTGCCTCCATCCTCAGGTTGGAATATTCAGAAAGACTGAAATTTCCGATGAATATGTTGTCTCCATATTTAGGATGAATGAGTTAGAAAAGTGAAGACGTTTCTGAGAAACCTGTTGCGTCATATCTTAAGGGCGGAGTAATCAGAAAGGTTCTGAAATATCAGAGGAATCATCTGCCTAAATTGTCGGATAGAAAAGTCAGAGATGTATAGACGTTTTGGCGTAACTTTCTGCCTCTGTCTTCGCAGTAGAANCGTGAGAACCGGTAACGTCGGTTAACACCACATATACACGGTGCCAAATCCCAGAAGACTGCTTTCTTCAAGATGGAATTAGACAGGAATTTTCAAAAACGTAAGATATATAATAATTCAAGCATATGATTGTATATCGACAGGAATAATTTTAACATAAATTAGGAAACGTAATGTGGTGGATACGCCCGTTGCTAAGCGGCGACTGTGCAAGCCACGACCGTTTCTTGGCAACGGCTTGGTAAACATGTTACCGCTGCAACGAATATGCACGCCACACTAGAGTTACTGTTAGAAACGGGATATTTTCTACGTGGTCCGTGCCGAGATGTAACCAGGACAGTTGGAGCAATGAGTTCAGTTATGAGTGCGTGCGATATAAACACAGAAATTGAAGATTCTTCATTGTTGAGAGCTGTTACCAGGCAACGACTAGGGATGACTATAAAAGACTGAGGCTTAGCGTGTGCTGTACTAATTTGTAAAGGTCAGCGTTAGCGTTGTAATTGCTTGTGGTTGCAAGTCTTGTGTATAAGTTGTCAATAAATCCATTCACCAGTCCAAACGGCGTCTATATTTACACACATATGCGTGAGAGTAACTTCGTTTGAATCGTAAGGATAATTTAGTAGACATAGAATTTACTCGGATAATTATTTCGTGTTTTAATGTCGAAGTACATAAATGCGTGCACAAAGTTTCATAGAAAATCCTTAAAGAAGGAGGCCACTGGAATGACCAAGGTATAGATGGGAGAATAATATTAAAATCGAACTTAAATGACAGGAGGATAAGTGTTACATGATCTTTATTTATTCGACTTTGGATAGGGATCAGTGTCATGCTCTTGTGTGCGTGGTGATGAACCATGGGGTACCATTGAATATTTGGAATTTCTTGACTAGCTGAACCACTGTTAGATTTTTAAGAAGGACCTTTCTCCACGAATTTAGTTACATATCTAGAATAGATAAGAGCAACTGCTTGACGTTAAGGAGACATTGATAAGAACAGTATCTCCACGGGCTCACATGCGTCCACCAATCCACTCGTCACTTGATATCGCACCAAATGCCGTTATTGTAACGTTACATTATCAGACGCACCACATTAATCTGCGTGTTGCTGTTAATATATTCCAAGTATAGGAGTGAGAAACACAAACTTGAAAACTAGATATTCCTGCTGTCATTGCATGACATGTTATTAATTACAGTGTCGATTTCATGAAGCTCACCAACTCAGCACCATCATCATCATCATCATCAGAGGCAGGAGCAGAAGAAGACGATGATGATGGCTGCCGGCACATCACCACGGCATCATCCGGCTACGCAGTTCGACACTGGCAACCCCTTACCTTGGGGCCAGATGGGCGGTCCGTCACCGACCTGGGGCTGGCATCACCACGACCACACACGTTGACGTCTTCAGCGATTGCTTTCACAGCATGCAACGCCTTAGAACCACTTTCAAACGGTCCCGTACTCCAACAGGAGCTGAGATGAAGACTCAGAGCAGTTTAGAAGTCCCCAAACAAGTCCGTTCTGCTTCGTTTGATGAGATCCAACTGGAAGCTAAACGCAGCCAACAGAAGGCGGCGGAGGAGAGGGACTGCGGGCCAGGGGGAGGAGCCATCGGGTTCCTTAAGGTTCCTCAGTTCGTGAATCAACGGTCTAAAAGTTTTGATTCTGGTGGTAGTGAAGATTCAGCGGCGATGTACCTTGAGGTGCCCAGGAGATTTCAGCGCCGACGTTCCTCTAGCGACAAATTGCCTGCAGTATGCTTCCACTGCGCATGCGTAGAAGAGTACTCGAGACTACAGGCCGTGGCCCACGCTGAGGAATTGGAAGTAGATCAAAGCCAGATGAGGTCATCAAGTTACAGTGATACTTCGTCAAGTGACTTTGATGCTGATGACGATATGGGCTCAAAGGACGGTAGTTTCGACGTCAACGCGCCGAGCACACAGTGCAGCATAAGAGTGACTCTATCCCCAAATTCTCCAAGTTCCCCATCGCTGGAAGGTTCCACCGGCGAGGAACCAGTTACAGGGACGCCAACTTGCAGACGACGTTCCATAACATCGCCAAAATTAGCAAGACAAGAAGCGGTTTTTGTTGTTGAACCCGGGACTAATTCGTTAGAAAATATATCTGATGTAACTTCAGAAGGTAGTGACGCGGTCAGTGGCGGAAGTATTGGCAGTGGCGTTGATTGTGGTGTAGGGTTAATAGTGAGCGAAATATATCTCAAAGTTCCTGAGCTGAAGAGAGATCGTGCCGCATCTGTAGACTCTTGCTTTGCCAAAGTGTCTTCCAACAATAAGACCGAGGAACTGGACCAAGTTTTGACGCTACAAGTCCCGCAGGTTGCACTTCGCTCCCGATCAGTAGATATTGTCTTGCCCACTGATGAGCAAGCCCGATATAAAGCCCTTGCAATGGCCAACACATCCCCGTATGAGCCACCTTCCAAGGGGTATGTACAGACATTTGTTACAGCATGCTTCTACCTGATTAGTTGGGTTCCTATTTCCATGTGGACCAGCAGACTGTACGTATTCAGCATACCGTACTACGTAGACGTAAGGTAAAGTTACTAAGCACCACGCCACGAAGATGTATGGAGGTATCTTGACCTCGGCGTTACATAGAGGTTCGTGGTCAGCTTCACGCCTCGGCGACTATTCCCCGGTGGGTGGGCCCCAGAACAGGTGTGTACGCTGTAAATAGAGAACATTTCCTGCCCTCCTACCGAGTATCGAACCCCGGCCGTTCAGCCCATAAAGTAAAAAAGTAAAAAAAAAGTAAAGCTATCCCTGTAACAGGCCGTGAAGGCCCATAGGGGTGTAAGACGTTAAGGGTCCCACATTACCTTGACAGTCGGCTCAAAGATGGCGGTAAAGTTGTCAGCCTTACGCTCCGGCCGCGCTTCACTCCGCGAGGAAAATTATTTAATTAATTCCTGGTACTCATTTCTGTTATCTGTCTGAAACTTCTTTGAAGGTACATCACGGTTAGGTAGTGACGTAGATTGTGACGTCATCATTAGAAATGTGTTAGGTTGTGTGTAGGATTTGAGGTTCTCACGGCGGTAGTTGTCAAGAGCACATTCTTCTGGGATAAACGCAGTGTAGTCTGTTGAAAGTCAATTCGGAGGAACATATCAAATTTACCTTCAGGGTCCTCTTTATCACGGCCATCCTAAACCCCTGTTCTTGTGTCCTATTGGTTCGCTCGGGGGTCGTGTGAGAACCAAACCGTTTCATTCTGGCCCACGGGCGAGCCAATGGGAACTGTGGTCCCCTCTGTTTCCTGCCTGCTTCCTATATAATACAAAATTTCCCGACAGCTGATTACTCGGCTTTGCACCTGCATTAACACTGATCTCTTTCTCCGCTTATTCGACCCTGAAGATAGAGTCAGTGTGTTCCTCCGAAACGTCGGTCGACTTTCAGCGGGCTACACGAAGTTATATCACAGAAGTTTCAATTTTCGACATAAAATGTGTTACCGAAGTCTGGTTGAAAGATAGAAATTTTGATCGGTAAGGCTGCCTACTCTAGTTACGACGCGCATTGACACACGCTGTATCTTCCAGCGAAGAGAAGACGAGACAAATGGGAGTTAGAAATGATAGACTTTGCCCAGTCTACTGTTCATTTACTGATACTTTAAGCTTTAACAGTAGAATCTTGCCCATGTTCTTAATTTGCACAGTACGCACGGATGGATATTGGTTAAATGCCTCGCCTTCTCTTCGTTATAGTATAGTAGGCTACCGCGTTTACCTTTACAGAGCTCTAGAATAGGGGTCGCCAAAAGCCGCCCCAGGGCCTAATGTGCCCCGACAAAAGTGTTTTGTTGTGACCGTATTAAGATTGCAATAAAACACATACACGTGCTTTAGCACTGTGCTTTCGTCTGTGTGTAGTCTTGTTGTAGACTTTGTCTATTTCCGAGCGCAGCTGAAAGCAGTCTGTGATACTAAACACGATTTATAAACATTTGCTGCAAGAATAATCCTTCTAGTTTAAATCCCTAGATCCTTACAGAACCCATGTGCAATTGCTCTGGAATACTGCACCTGAATAGCTTACATAAATATACCAACATAATGTTTATTGTCCATAAATAATTGTAGCTTACATTAACTTACTCTTAGTAAAACCCTAGGCTTCCATGCTGACCTGCAATTGGAAAGGCTCCAGATAATTGTAACCTTATTCCATCTTAACGGTCTCTCTTATGTCTGAATGCTTCGTAACCCTTAAGTTCATGCAAATATTTTAAAGTTCAGTTCGTACCTCACAGGAAACACTAAGTTCCATTACAGTATCATACTTGTTAATTTTGCTTACGGATGTAATCTCTCTTCTGGGCTGTGACACCGTCGATAATGTTTCGAGGCATATTCACTCTCCATCTTCAGGATGACGGTTAAGTGTGTAGGATGAGCATATGGGTAGGTTATACATTTCGTAGTGAGGTTGCAGGGAAGGTGGGAGGTAGATAAGGTAAAGCTGCCCTTCTGCTTAATTAATTAAGCACTGTGCGATGAAGAAGTATGGGAGATTGGAGGAATAGCTCCACCATTCTTGATCTCGGCAGTAGATGGAGGCGAGTGATCAGCTTCACACTCCGGCTGCTTTACCCCCTGCAAAAGAGCCCCCGATATCAATTTTATAGGAGGCTGGTGGGCCCCACAGCCGGTGTGGATGCTGTGGAGCAGAGAGAAATTTTACCCCTGCTGGGAATCGAACCACTGCCGTCCAGCACATAGTCCGTCGCTGTACCGAGCGAGCTATTCTGACTCATTGGTGTTGATAGGCACCGCTCATATTGGTCCGGGCCGGGTGGGACGTGAAGCTGGCCACCCGCAGTCAACTTGTCACTTGGTTAACAAATTAGCAAATGTAGTCGTAGCGTAACAGTTACGGTGAGTTTGCTTACCTTTGTATATTTCGAAAACCATCTGACTTACGGGAAAAGCGTATTGGGCATAAAATATGTGGTTTCATTTTGTCTCCCCTGTTTTGTTGTAAGCGTATTAAGTTCCCGTAAATGTTGAGAGAATTATACTTGACATACGCACAGGAACTGACGTAGGCGTCAATATAAAGCGTATCTCATCGTTGCCCGATATTAACCAAACTTTAAATATATCGGCAAATTTTAGTAGAATTTTATTCTTTCATATTCTGGCAGGCTGGCGTCCCGAAACTCGACTCTGTTCTATCCAAGTCCAAGTCCAAGTCACTTTGCGTCTGACGGTCAGTCAGTCAGTAAGTCTTGGTGTCGAACCCTGTCTGGGGCTCATGACCAGATATTTATTACTGTTGAACGTTGCGGTTTTGTTTTTTTGTGGGGCGTCCTCTCTGACGAGAGGACGGGTCTGTCTCTTTACATGCTACTGGTCCTTGCCAGCGCAGTCTTTCTCGGGTCCGAGTCCCTTGGGACTTGCGACGATATTTTACTGTCTCAGATTTGAGACTTCCCTTTTCGTCGCCTCCTACGACTCGCAGGGTCACGGTAGAGGTATTCGACCCCGGCCTCCACACGGGAAAGACCTCTGTTCTATCCTGCCGAACACTTCCTTGTAACCACTTTGCACGGACCCCACGGAAAACAGGCCTTTGTTGCGAAGGAGGTGTTTACTGATCCGTTGCGTACAAATAGACGTCCTATTGTTGAGCGAGTTTGCTGGCGCGAGAATGTGTTTACCAAGTTGTTGCCTAGCAATGGGTTTACACGTCACAATATTATCCTCCCACCTTCATCTAGCTTTCCCATAAAAACCGTATACACTCCTCTCCTCCCCCATGCTTGAACAGACTGCACGGCGTTAAGTCCCAGAAGATACAACTTGTCAAAACTTTTTCTTCTCAAGTAAGCGTGTGATTAATGATCACCACTGATCCAAGAGTGAAGTGTTACAAATGGCTCTGGTCCTCAGTGACCTATGCATCGATGCCAGGCAGGTATACAGTCAGACATTTATATGACTTCAAGGACCGAACGGGTTAGCGTAGCGGTAACAGTGGACTCGTATTCAGTGGATGCTCGGTGCGAATACCTGTCATCCTTAATGAAGCTTTTCTTAATTTCCTCAGTTTGCAGACAAATCCTGGGGCAGTGCCTCGGATAAGCCACGAGAACTTCCTTCCATATCCCCTCCTTCGTTGGCTACTTAACGACGCTTTCGGTACAAACGCAGCGCCTACACAGAAACACCGACCTCTCCCCTCGCCGAGGAGGATACTGTCGCGTGTTACGGGTGTCTCTAGACGGGGTTTTGGATTTATTGACCACTTATCAACACGACTCCTGGCTACACTTTACAGATTACTGCCACACGCTCATTAGTGTCCTCAGTCTATTATAGTCTCCATTAGCCGTTTCCTAGCAACGGATTCTAAAACACTAACTATAACACTCTCACTCAGTGATACTAGATATCACACTTAAAAAGTCTTCTCTCACAGCTGCACTTTTAACTGAGCACTCTTGCAACTGACTGATTGCCCCAGACTGTTACAACATCTCTGCACGGACCACGTAGAAAGCACCGTTCCTCTGTTACTGTGCCATTGTTACTTTCGTGTCTGTTGGGGTTCCTACGCGATCGCCACTCAGCCAGTCTAGTGGCGCTCTGGTGGCGGCCTATCGACGGCTGTTTGTCTCGTTCGTTTCGCGCCCGTTGCCTAGAAACGAATGTTTCAGAGCCTTACTAGCAACGGCTCTTTCTCTGGCTCCACAGTTCTTGCTTTGAGGAACTATACCATAGTATACAGTCCTAGGACAGAACAAAAATCTTGAACATAGATCTGGACTAGACCTGAAAGCAATTTGACCAGCCAACAGAGATGGTAGGATGATGCGCGGTGAATTGGAAAGGTTTTGGGAGGATGCTATCTTGTCCCGTTCGAGGTAATATCCCGGGATTTGCCTGGAGTGTCTGAGGAAAACAATGAAACCCCTAAATCATTATAGTTGTTCCGTCCGAGACTCGACCCGAGCAACTCCTGAATGGAAGTTACCTCTAATCCAGCCAGTTCGGTAATATTCCATCTGCCGCTGTACAGTGCAGCTGCTGATGGCGTCATGACGCGACCCACAGCAAAACAGTTTCAGTGCCGTAGTTAGGCCTGTGGATAGCGCATAATTATACAGTGCGTTCAGTTTAAGGAAGAAACTTCGAAACACCGCTGACCCGGCCAAACATTCCTCACAGATTGCTGCTGCAACTGCTGATAGCAGAATGAGTCATTAGCGCTGATAAACGCGCGCAGTTACAGTAGCAATCTGTGAGGAATATTGGGTCCGGTCAGCGGTGTTGCGAAGTTGCCTCCTTGATTGAACGCCCTGTATTTTGTTATGGCGTGGATATTTAGATCTCTGTTTTATGGAGGCGGAAGCGGTCATGGCCGCTGACACACCTCTGTATACACACAAACAGACAAACAAACACGTGTACAGCTGGCAGCAGGCGCGTTGTGATTGCCTCGAACGATAAACGTTACATATGAGTAGCTCCCGCCTCGCGCACTTCCGTGAAGACTCCACCAAAATTGTCTCTGCAACGTTTGAGATGACACACAGTTATGTCTGTCTATCTGTCTATCTATCTATCTATCTATGTAAATATCTATCTATCTATCTATCTATCTATTTGTGTATCTGCCCTATCTATGGCTCTAGAGTCCTTTTGTTGGACTTCGACCGCTTTTCAGTTGGTAGAACTCCTTGGACGGGGGATCAGCGCGTCACAAGGTCGCTGCCTAAACACAGAATGAAAGCTCACACAGACATCCATGCCTTGAGTGGGATTGGGATTGCAATAAAAAGATTGATAAACAAATCGTGCTCTGTGAGTTAATGAGCGTGTTTATTCATCAATGGGTCTACAGCCCTTTTTTGGGCCCTGACAGCTTTTATTGGGGCTCCACATTTTCTAGACAATCGGCTCACAGATGGCGGTGATATCAGTCTTACGCGCCGGCCGATCTTTACTTCCAGGAAGATTCCCGGTACTCATTTCTGTTAGAGGCTGAGTCGACCCCAGGGCCATAGTGCGGCTGGAAGGATTAGGTCAAATGAAAAAAAAAAAACCCAATGACCTAATCGGGAATCGAACTCGCGACCTTTCGACTTGTAGCATAGTGCCTCAACCAACTATGCGTATTAAATATTTCTCCTATTACTTCACCTTATAATTAGACGTCCTTGTTTAACGACGTTGTCTCGAGGGTATTAGCATTAGTGATAGGATCATAATGATTATGGAGAACTGGTGGAATGTGAATTGGCAGGGGAAACAGAAGCACTCATTAAAACACGCCCCATTGTCACTTTGTTCACAAATCTCATATGACTCGACGTGGGATCGAACGCGGGTCGCCGCTGGGGAAGTCGGCAGCTAACCACTCTGAGCCGTGGCATGGTCTGTACAATTAAATGGCGTGTGGGTTTAGTTATTGTGTTCCTGTCTTCGTCTCTACATTTCAGTGTCTGATAAATAATCGGCATTAAATATTAGCATATAAATAGTGTTCACAGAACATGTGTGAACATACATGAATTTTTGTTTCATGAATATTTAAATAATGATACATTCATTTCATACACAAATTGCTTTCTCATTTAGATAACAGTTTTTAAATAACAAATATCAGAGGGATACGATACAGATTATATTTTTATTATAGTCGTGGTCACGTGTTTTCACTGATCTTTTGCCGGTTCTTCCCTCGTTTCTGGACGATTCCAACATCTCGTTAAGTCGTTCTATGCGTTTCTCTGCTTTAAATTTTAATTCTAATGTCCTAGTCGATATTCTTGTGCTCTATTTTCCCTTTACATGGCCAGACCAATCTTCTGAGTCAAGTACAAGGTAAAATTATCCCTGTAACAGGCCGTGAAGGCCCGTAGGGTTGTGAGACATCGAGGTTCCCATATTTTCTAGACAATCGGCTCATAGATGGCGGCGAGGTTGTCAGCCTTACGCCCCGGCCGCCCTTTACCTTCAGGAATATTCCTGGTACTCATTTCTGTTAGAGGCTGAGTCGATCCCAGGCTGGAAGGGAAAACAAAATCGAATTAACTCGTCGGAAATCGAACCCGCGACATTCCGGCTTGTAGCAACTGTGCTATCGCGTGCCCGCAGTCGTCTGACTCAACAAATTTCTAATTCCAACTCTTCACTAAGAATATTTCATCTCGACCGAGCGAATTAATGCAGCGGTAACGTTTTACACTATTTTGCGGGAGATGGTCGGTTCGAATCTCGGTCGAAACACCAGCTATCTTGAATGAGGCATTGTGTGATTATTCATAGCCCATCGAAACAAACGCCAGGGCAGTACCTCGATTAGGACATGATTACTTCCTTCTGAATCCTTTACGATTCATCATTCGGCCGCAAATTCCTAATGAATCATAAAATAAGCCACAAATAATCCCTGTCCCTTCTTGTTCTCCCGTCCATCAGTAGTTCTCAGAGGATTCATTTGCTGGAACTGTGTGTCACACGTAACAGACAAAAATGGCAGTCCTGTAATGGCAGACACTGCAGAAAATGGTGACGTAGTTAGTAAGTTATTTCCATTTTAAGTAAATACTGAATACGGAGATTTCTCCCTTTAGACATCTTTATTATGAAGCCATTCCTAACGGAATGAATATCAAAAGAATTGCTTTGATTTTATTTACGCCCGAAGTAATAATATTTCCAAGTAAGTTTTGCGAGATGGAAGTAACAGAGCTCACACAGTAGATTTTATTCCGTCTTATCACTGGCAATAAACTGATACTTGCATTAGCATATCCGTCGGTTGCGTCGTGGCGGATACTTCTCTTGAAATTATATATACTTCATAAAGTTGGTTCATTTATAAGTTTCTAAGAAAGCATTGTCAGAAATCTGAACGTTCTCTTTACGTCTTTCTTTCTCTCTCTCTTGACGCTACAATATTAGTTTGATGGTGTATACTGAAGCCACGGAAAGATATCCCCTGGTTGGTGGGGATCATAGCGCTCGGAAACTACCACTCTTTTATTCCCCTCCAGACCCTTCTGGCCTATGTCCAGCACAAATCACTTTTTGTTAAAAAGGCTATAATTTGAACAGTGCCGTCTTCTGGGATATGGCGCCGTGTAGATCTTGCGTGAACTGACGTTTCGGAGGAAAATATCGCCTCCAACTTCAGGGTAGAAAAATCCGCAAGCGAGTAACCAGCTTGAACAGGTGGCTGCAGACTTTTGCACTTCAGTACCATGGAAAGAGACGTGAGATAGCTCGAATAACTTTGGCTGCTTCAGTTAAATGTGTAATAATATTAAAGAGTATTGTCCTTGTCGCGTATATGTTGGTGAGACGACGAGTGTTACATCCTGGAAATGCGTCATGTTATCTGGCATTCAACATTGTCGAACATGCATCTAGAGAAGACGCTAATATTATCACATACGGGCTAGCAACATGCTCTGCCTATTTGCATTGGGCGCGATTGCAAGTTTCATAGGCCTTACAATCTAAATGTGTTTGTATTTCCTCATCTTGAGGATCGCTTGCCAGGATCCGTTGTATCTGTTGCACCAGACAGGGCATACGATAAATCCTGAGCACAAATTATGAATTGTCTTTCGACGCATTTGTGACCTTGTTGTAGGGCAGAGTATAACTGAATTACTGAAAATAGAAAATTTAAAACATCAATTCTGACCTCACGTATGAGGTCACAAAGTTGTTAATGTTTGAAGAAAGTCGTTCCTCCGAAACGTCGGATAAAACCAAGAATACACGGCGCCAGATCCCAGAAGACGACTTTCTTCATAGTCATCGCCGTGAAAACCTCAAAACTTACAAAAAAATCTTAATGTTTATTTAGACGTAAGAGAGAGGGAAGTTAAGTTCTGCCTGTGCTTAATTGAGCTACATCCCATGAAGACGTATGGGCGGAGTGACGGTATAGCTCCACGTATTCTTAACTTCGACATTAAATGGAAGAGAGATCAGTAAAATCGTTTGAAACAGCTCAATTTCAGTTTATAACCAAGTTTTTCTGCTTGTCCACCCCCCGGAAACAATCCTGACGGTGACCATGCGGAAGTATTATGTGTGGAAACGACGAAAATGAGGCTAGAGATGGGAATTTCCAAATTTTCTAGTTAGATTTTCACTAACGATTATGAATTTTCAGGTTATGGTGTAGGTATATGTGAGACCCATCTTTCCTGCCTGCAGTGGTTACAACATGAATTTCTGTTCTACAGGAAAGCGGTGAGTGCCGATATCTCGGAGCAACGAATCCTCCGTTCGACTCCCGACTGGAGCGAGACAGCTAGCAACAGCGAGCATCTGTGGGTGCCTACTTCCGCATCCGGAGATTTCTGCTATGTTGGCGAGAGCGACTGCACGGTAAGTACTGCAATCTTCTTAGCCTCATCCTACCTCATCCTAATTATCTTCTTACGTAGGATTTATATTTGCTACTGATCTATGGGTAGCCGGTGGGCCGCGCCATAGCTCAAGCGGTTAGTCGCTGGCTTCCCACCGCTTCTTCAAGGTAGAAGACAGAGGCAGCAGGTTCCTACCGAAACGTTGGTACTTTTATACCAGATTGTACGGCGTCACAGCCCAGATGCCAGTGATCTTCGTATTACATACAGAAATGTTTCCCATATACTTTTCTATAAGTGTGTTCAAAACCTTTTGAGTCAGTAAATAGGTCACAAATGCACATAAGACGAAAAATAAGTGACATTCAAACGTGAAAAACATGTTTGTCGACATATCCAACACTAACACTAATACACTTGTCCCGTCGTTTTATCGGTGCGCCGAAACCCGCAGCGTAGACGTCGTTTCTTTTTAATCTTGTCTCATCCACTTCCGTGACTCGGTTTCAACGGCTTCATCATCAGCTAGACGTTTGCCACTGCGCTGGTTTTATAGAGAAACCAACAGAAGAAAGTTACGCATGCGCGTCTGCTACCTAGACTGTCATGAAGCCGGACTGTGCTGCTACCTAGTGATACACATAGAAACCCTATTACGTCCATTACAGCTGTTTTACTTCAATTTGTGACACATTTACTGACTCTCTTTCGCAGGATGGGGTGGTGTGGGTTGGATTTATGTGGGTAAGGATGGGGACCAGTAGAGGCCTCTTGTGAACACTATAATGAACTTTCGGGGTCCATAAAATTTTGGGAAGTTCTTGAGTAGCTGGACCGTCTCTGTGGTCTAGTGGGCAGAGTTCCTGGCTACAGATCCAGAGGTTCCGTGTTCGATTTCCGGCGCTACCAGATTTTCTGAGAAGTAGTTGGTCTGGAACGGGGTCCACTCAGCCTCGTGAGGATAATTGAGGAGGAAATAGCGGCTCCGGTATAGAAAGCCGTGAGGATTCGTTGCGCTGACCACGCGACACCCTCTATTCGCCAACGTTGACACTAACTTCGCTGACAAGCGGCGGTCGCTCAGTCGGTATAGTTCGCTTGCGGACTACAGGCCACAGAGTGTCTTGAGTAGTTGCACAACTGACAGCTTCTCAAGAAGGGCTCAGCTCCATGAAGATATTTACATTCAAGTTTAATACGGATTTTTATGTAACCCGTCATGAGTGTATGCGTAGGATTATTTTAGTACTGAGTTCGAGACCAAGGCTATTTAAATGAGAGCTGTGTATCAAGACAATAAATGCGTCCAGTTAAAGACTTGTGCACCAGATACGGACTATATCTTGCAGCGGAATGTCGCTACCGCGGAATGATTGGTACTTCAGAGAACTTTACGACTTCCACTTTTATCTGTATCTCAGTTCGGACTGTCGCCTTCCCTTCAAGCAGTCGCTCCTACTTCCAGTAACATTGGTAATAAAAGACCAAAGCGGTAGATAGGTTTTGCAGATATTGAAACTCGCCTCTAGTAAGAAGGTTGGTCTACAAGTAAACGTAGAGAAAACTAAATATATGTTGCTGTCTCGTCACCAAAATGCAGGGCAAAATCATGACATAAAGATAGGTAACAGATGTTTTGAAAATGTGGGAACGACGATAACAAATCAAAACCTGATTCAGGAGGAAATTAAGAGGAGATTGAACTCGGGTAATGCTTGCTACCATTCAGTCCAGAATCTTTTGTCTTCTCGTCTGTTGTCCAAAAACATAAAAATTAGAATATATAAAACTATAATTTTCCCGTGGTTCTGTATGGGTGTGAAACTTGGTCTCTGACATTAAGGGAGGAACACAGACTGAGGGTGTTTGAGAACAGGGTGTTGAGGAGAATATTTGGACCGAAGAGAGATGAAGTGACAGGAGGTTGGAGAAAACTGCATAATGAGGAGCTTCATAACTTGTACTCTTCTCCAAGTATAATTAGAATGATCAAGTCAAGGAGGATGAGGTGGGCAGGGCATGTAGCACGAACGGAGAAGAAGCGGAATGCATATAGCATATCGGTGGGAAAGCCAGAAGGAAAGAGATGACTAGGAAGATCAAGATGTAGGTGGGTTGACACTATTAAAATGAATCTTAGAGAGATAGGATGGAATGATATGGATTGGATCGATCTGGCTCAGGATAGGGACCAGTGGAGTGTTCTTGTGAACATGGTAATGATAGGACTCCGTGGATCAGCCGGTCGTAAGGCCGCTGCCTACACACAGAACAACACAAACAGAATAAACGCAGACAGACATCCATGCCTCGATTGGGATTCGAAGCCACGACCCCAGTGTTCGAGCGGGCGAAGACAGTTCATGCCTTAGGCCGCGTGGCCACTGTAATCGACTCCAATTCGTTGCTATGGTAACCTAAAATTGGGGAACAACAGTGATATATCCCACGCTTGCGAAACTAGTTTATGTCCGTGTACAGGACAAGTCTCCAGATTACAGATTCCAAGAAAGAGACTTCGGACGGCTCTTTCACGCAGTTTCTGTAACTTTGTGTAATCTCTTTGCATTTCCTGTAGCGGGCCACACAATAAACCGACGTATCCAGCTCCGGCCGGTTTAACAAGGCTTTAGATAAGCCGAAACAAACGCAAACGCAAACTGCATGTAGCTATTAAAAGCATTCATTACAATTTCACGTTATCTTGATTCGTTTCCGTACTTGAGCTGTTTGTGTAGTCACGAGAGGGCTCTTTAACGTAGACACGCATTCAACAAAAGCGCAGCGGTGTGGCGAGTTTGGTAGTTAAACCACACGGACAGTCCCTAGTTTGAAGCCAACCCAAGGAGGTCCTTAAGACCGCGCCATAGCTCAAGCGGTTAGTCGCTGGCTTCCCACCGCGGCGGCCCGGGTTCGATGCCGGTTCTGGTCAAGTGGGATTTGTGGTGGATAAAGTGGCGCTGGGGAAGGTTTTCTCCGAGTACTTGGGTTTCCCCTGCCAATCTTCATTCCACCAATTGCTCCACAATCACCCTCCCCTATCATCTGGGGCTGGTACAATAGACCAGAAGTGGCCGCAGTACAAGGGACTTAGTCCCATCCCACTAGCAATAAAAAAAAAGGAGGTCCTTCAGTGTGTGAGTTTTATGCTACATATCTTCCTTAGCTCTTTGAATCCTTGAAGGTTATTTAAATATTTAAAAATTCAGGTCGTAGTCCGTTGCATCCCCATGACAGCGACCTTATACTTAATATATAAGAATCTAGTTCGTACCTCACCGGAAACAGGGCACATCTACATTACAACAACCAGTCGGTTAATACTGTAGCGTGTGTAGTCGATGCTATGCAACGACCGCGAGATAGACCGATATACCAGGGCTGTTTCTGGGCAACGGCTCTGTAAACACGTTCCAGCAGAAACAGACACGAACGCAACAATAGAAGAATTGCGTTTTCTATATGGTCCGTGTCCAGATTTTATAAGCAAGAGACAAGGATAGAGCTTAGTCATGCAGACAAGGACACTGACAAAATACAGACTCGTCCTCTCATCAGAGAGGGCACCCCACAAAACAAGACCGTAACTGTCAAACAGTAATAAATATCTGGTCATTAGCCCTAGATGGGGCTCCACACTTTGACTGACTGACTTACCGTCAGTCGCAATCTGACTTTGACTTTGAATTTGAGCTTCGTCAGTTCTATACGGGAATCTGTGAAGAGAGGACTTGAGCTCGAGGCAGAGGATTACCATTGTTGGAGCCGTTAACAGGAAACGCCTAGGAACAGAGTCAGAACACTAGACTGCGTGCTCTAGTGAACAATAAAATCTGTAAATAACGATAGTGTTATATATATTTGTATTTACGACCTCTAAACGGTCAGTAAATCCAAACCCCGTCTACGGTCTCACATACTATGTGACAGTACTGTTTAGGGAAATAATCACTGTTCATTGTAAGAATCATACGAAACATAAATGTACTGTATGGGGAAAAAGTAGAGTTGTTCAATGTTAAAGCAGTTGGTATATATATATATATATATATATATATAATAAGGCATGTAGACCCATTACTAGGCAACGGCCGCGAAATAACCAACTATACAACAGCCATTGCTAAGTAACGGCTCCGCAAACATACATACTTCCACGGAAGAAAGAGAATACAGCAATAATGGAATAGACGTTTTCTACGGGGTCAGTACCACGATGTTACAAGCAGGACCTGTTGGTAGTTGTAGTCAGAAGAATGCTGGGGTTCAGGCTTTGTGAGCCCTTGCTGTTAGAAGCTGGTAGCTGAGGCTAGGGACAGTTCGGGGAACGTCAGGCGTTGAAAGCCGCTGCCGAGCAACGGCTAGTGAAGACGTGATTGTGGGCACTAGTGCGTGTAATAATGAAATGTGAAGTGTAGTCACTCCCTGTAGCAAAGTGTCAAATAAATCCAGTCATCAATCCAAGACCCGTTTGTAGTCACACGCCATCACGTGACCGTATAATCACTGTGGTTGAAAGTGCTAACATGCACGCTAAAGATTATAGCATATCAGATGTTTATTCCGGAATTAGAATGAAAACCCTGCATTTACTTTTATGACGAAAAATCAGCTTGTTAACCTTGAAGGCATATTTTGGAAATGAGGGTCTTGCAGCAGTTTTCTTTCGGAGGAACATCGCTTCGGTCGCTAGGGTCAGAACGTAAATCAAGAAAATAGCACCGGATGGCTGTAAGTCGAGCTTGTATCCAAAAGATGGAAGCGACATGTTCCCGCGATGCGTCGGGCTGTCTAGGAACTACTCTGCTTTACAGTCTATAGAAGGCTATGTCTCCTTCGTGTTTATTCTCCATGTTGAGACTTAAAGACAGTCACAGCCAGAGGATTTAATCTGCGACTTTATTTACACTGACGAATTGTGCAAATATTAACCCAAAGGTGTGTGAGGATAAAATTATTCTTGCTATAGAAAATCCTGTAGCCGGGATAGCTCAGTCAGTGTAGTGACTTGACTGTGGT